AATATAAAATTTTATATGAAAAGTGATTAAAAAATAATTATAAAATAGTTATAATATATATTTATATATATCAAATTTTATGCATATAACAATAAAAAAATTAAAAACTAAAGAATGATGACCGCAACACCTGACTTTAACGGAGACAGTGATGAAAATAACGTGACAAATGGCTATAATGATGGTTTAAATTTTTATTAATCTTAATAAGATTGTTCATTTTTTCCCTTTCCACTTTTTCTCTCACTCTTTTTTGGGTGTCAGTTCTCACTAGGGGTCAAGTGCCAAAATGGCATTAATATTTGTGGTGTCGATTACGGTAGATAGGCATGGCAGTAACATCCGGCTTAGGAGACTTAAGAATGGCCCGTGAAGGAGCAAAGCACCAACGTCCGGTTGCATTATGACGCATCAGTTTGGAAAGGCTCGAACTCCAAAAACTTTTCTCACAAATTATATCAAAGTAATAAGCTAGGCGCCGTTACTTTTATTTTTCATTTATTTCGTACTACATAAGTTGCATGACTCTATATCGTAACAAGACAAATCAAAGACCTTTATTCTATTACTATAAATCAACAAGTTCTTTATCACTCTCTTCATCCACGAGAAGAAAATATTACAAATAAGTTGGAATTAAGCACACACATACATCCGGTAACGTAGAAATTTAAACTTCGGAAGACATTCCTTTCTATTCAATGTAAGAGAAGTCCTCAATTGAACCTAAGAGATTCATCCGAATCTGAATCGGCTCCTTCCATGCACCTTAGCAAAATTGCCTAGGTGACTGGTTGTTGAGAAACCATGAATTTCTGGGTAAAAATGATGAACATGAACAGAGAAAGAAAAAGGAGAAATCGGGAGAGAAGTGAGAGAAAAATAGTTGTGAAGCTAAAACGGCATAAGACCTCATCGTTTCATTAAACACATAAACCTCTCATATACACACGGTTGATGGAGGTGAGAGAAACAAGAAAACCAACAGAGAAGGCCACCTGGCCACAGCAAACAACGGAGGAAAATTTTGCATTGGAGACTGCAAAATATTCCTTTCTAGCAGCTCGTAAATTAAAGTAAAAAATGGCTGAATGCAACGGCACAGTTTTGGCAAGTTAAAACAAGAACAAACAGAAGTTATAACACGACACTAGCAATAGAGCCAAACAACATATCATTTACATGAGGCACATGCAAGTCATGTACCCCTCTTCTTCTTCTTTAACAAACTTGAGTTTCCCGCGAACCTCCATTGCCAAACCAGTGAAGCGCTTCCCAGAAACGAAACCCAATACTTCAACACTGGTCACCAAAAGACAATTTGCTTTAAGAAACCATTTATGGTTCTTCAAAAACAAAATTTGTGCCTCCTCTTTTTCTCTCTTCTTCCCAATTGCTTGTTTCCCAAAACCATTAAAAACCTCCCATGCTTCCTGTTAATAAAGTTACAACCTAGAGGCATTCCAATGATTAGCCCAGCTGCAAATCCCACCAAAACTACTTTCCAATCAAACGTAAACAGACTTCCGATGCCTTTATCTTCTTCAGAGTTCAAAGGATCTTGCCCTGAGGACTTTTCAGGAATTCCACATTTTTGGGCAAAGGGCTCCACACAATCCCAAATTTCCGAGGAATGAATTAGTATCAAATGTACTAAACTGTCTTCCACTAGGTATGGGCCCTTCGAGACTGTTATGAGAGACATCAAAGAATGAGAGGAATGTGAGTTGTACCAGTTGGCGAGGGATTTCTCCTGAGAGCTTGTTTCGAGAGAGGTCCAACGATTCAAGATGTGTTAAACTGGCCAAGGATGATGGGATATGACCGGTGAGATTGTTGTTTGAAAGGTTAAGCATATTAAGTGCCTTCAAATTTCCAATGTCTTCATGAATTTCTCCATTAAATTTGTTGTTCGAGAGATCAATGGCAGTGAAGGAATCTTGAACGCTCTCATATTCTAGTTCCACGCCTTTATTTGTCAATTCAATTGAGTAGCGGTAGTAATCAGACCATGAAAATTCTTTACTCTGAAAGCCTGTGGTCGCATTCATGTATGATAAGTTACCTGCTTTGGCAACTTTCATTGCATTCCATATATTGAAATGCCCCAGTGGCAACTCACCTCCCAAATTATTGTCAGAGATGTCGATTATTTGCAACTTCGAGAATTCAGAGCTGCTTTGAGGTTTCCTTATCGCACCATGTAATCGATTGGATCTCAAGACCAGAACTTTAAGGTTTGGAAGAACGCCCAACCAAGAGGGGAAAGTATCATTTATTTCATTTTTTCCAAGATTAAGAGCTTCCAACGTGGTGCAATAGGCCAGTGATCTTGGTATCTTCCCCTGCAACTGATTCTGCGCGAAGTTTATCATCCTCAATGAACAACCCCTCACATACGTTTGAGGAATGTCACTGGTGAAGTGATTATTTTGGAAATTGAGTACTTTCAGAGAGGCACTAAGGTTGGCCAAACATGGTGGCAGCATTCCACTCAAATTGTTATTCGAAAACTCCAAGACAGCAGGAGAAGACAGATGGCAGAACATTGGTGAGATTTCCCCTGTTAGTGAGTTGTTTGAGACAAAATAAGTGATGACAGAAGGTGGTGGATTGGGGAGTGATCCATGGAGCTTGTTAGATCTAAGATCCAAAATTGTTAACCTTTTCCATGGAAGAACAGCTGGAAGCTCCTCAAATCCTGTCAGAAAATTATAAGCAACATCTAAATAGGATAGTGTTTCTTTTCCAATGGTCCAAATCCATTTTGGAATTTTGCCTTGAATATTGTTGTTAGCAAGTTCCAGAAACTCCAATTCATCTTGACGACGCAGAAAATTTGGGAACTCAAGCAAGTTGCATGAAGCCAATCCCAAAAGCTTGAACTTAGGAAGAGTGAAATTGATGTTGACATTTGTCAAAGACAAATTGTTTCCTGAAAGTTGGAGTCTGATGAGCTCTTTTGACTTGACAAGCAAGTCAAATTTCACACTGCCATTTAGAAAATTTGATTGTAGATCAAGAAGTGTGAGATTCTCAAGCCTAGAGATTGACTGTGGAATAGGACCTACCAATTTGTTTTCCTGCAGTTTGAGCAGAGTTATATGGGTAAGGTCTCCTATCCAAGTTGGAAAACTACCCAACAACAATTTAGAATAAAAAAAGTTCAAAAAGTTGATTGCAACCGAAAAAAAATTAAATTATTGATTTAGATAACTCGTTATTTGATTTTGGCCTGGATTCTGGATAAGTTTAACGCATTAATGCAAATCAAGATAATTGGACAGCTTTTGTTTCAGGCTCGAAATCAAGCAAATATGTATATTACATTTTGACAAGTCGTGCAAGAATCAAAATGAAATCTGATCAACCCACCTTTTCTCCTTCACTATTCATAGTTCATGGAGTTCATCATCTTAGCCTTAAGTCATTCTAACTGACCTCCTATGTCCTTGTTGTTCACGAATTAAGCCACCCAGATTTGATTTAAACGCCATCCTCTCCCAATATCAAGGGCATATTCCACTTCATCTACTCTGATAAAAACCTCTCTTCTTCAAACAAAGTTCGTAACACTTTAAATTTTCTTCTTGTTATTTCCTGATTAACCTAAATATGGTAGGCTTTTGGATTGGAAACAACTTCCTCGTGATCTCTTCTTGCAAATTACTGATCAATTCTCCTTTAATTGGTAAAAGGCTAAATGAAAACAGAAAATTACTCTAGTTCTGGATTTTTGTCTAACAGTAAAAAAATAAAATGAAAGAAATCAAAACAGGAAAAGAAACCTAGCCACTCCAGAAAAGGTCTGCCACCTCCAGAACAAGAAGCAATAGTATTCCTTACCAGCCAACCTATCCAACATTTGATCAAAGAAAAGAAGAGCGAAGTGATCCTTTTCTTGTAACTTTGTTAAGCTTGCAATAATCTATGCAAACTCTCCATCCAATTACTATTCGTGTAAGGAATCAGCTCATTGTTATTATTGGAAATCACAATCATTCTTTTTTTTTTGTATACATTAGACTGGACTTACCCATGTGCTGTAAAAAATTAGATAAATAATTTCAATATCTAACCACTTAATGGTTTCTTTCTTGACCAATAAAATTGAGTCTTCTTTTATGTTCTATTTTTTCCTTGCAGCTGTCCTCAATAAGGATTTTGTGTAGAGGCATCTTAATAGCGTGAAAAGCCTAAAGCAAAATATTCCAATGAGGCTTTTTTATTGAAATTAAGAAAATTTTGTTAAGCTTTGAATAACCAAATTCATATTTTTGATTTGACATATTCAAATATTTATTAGGAAGTACAAAAAATATTTAGCTATTATATTATTTTATATTTTTTAAATGGTTAATATAAAATCAACAATCAAAATTTCTAATTCAATAAATCAGCTATCATATAAAATAAAGATAATATAACAATATAATATTA